TAATATATATTACTTGAGTTAATTATTAAGCGATAGGTTTAAATTATGGGGTTACTTTTTTTTCTTTCAAAACTGATTAAACTCAAATCCATGAGTTGATCATACTGTTCTAAATCATGTTAAACCCATATATTACCCATCTTTATCATTTAGGACGCAGAAGGATCTAAAATATTATGAATTTAAATTTAAAATTAAAGATTAAATTGTTATAATGATTTTGTATGTCTCCTAAGAATCAATCCTTTCAAAAGACTTAAATTAGTATATGACAGATTTTATATCTCCAACATGATGCATATGAGTAATTGGTGTTTTTTTTTATTTTTTATTAATGAACCAAACGGAGATAGCGAGGATAGGATAAAAAAGTAGGCATCATTGTCAAAGCTATAATTTAATTGTTCCTTCTTTGGAATATTAAATATAAAGAAGTGGAAAGGGAAATGGAATATATACTTGCATTGAAATTCTATAGTAAAACATGTTTGATGTATTTATTGATTAAAATTTGTTGAAATTTATGAAATAATAATTGAGTTTCAATAGAGATTAGAGCCCTCGTATATCCTCATATTTTAGAAATTTTAACTTTAGTTAATAAGCATGTATTTAATTAGTTAATAAGTTAGAGTGAATGTGTGTATGAGAGATATAAATGAAAAATGAGAACAAATAGTTAATAATTTGAATGAGTAAAAATTTGATTTAAAATGTTTAAACATAGTTAAGTTTAAGCTTCTCAAATATATTCCATCTATATTTAAATCTTGCCCAACTCATTAGAAAGTTTATATGCACGAAGTTAGGTTAAGTCATTGATATAAGTCACTTCAAAATTTCATTTTGCCTTTGTTAAGTTAGGTAAAAAAATCCAGACAAATAACATCACTAAATAGTTTAAGCAAAATGACAGATCCAATTTCACAATGTTAGAAGAGACACCGTACCCTAATATTTTTTCTCGTGGTTCTCATGACTTGTCTTCATTCCATCCTCAAATCGACCATTGAAGACAAGGCTATGAATGGGAAGCATTGAACTAAAGCCTTTGTTGTACCATGATTAATTCTAGGCCACTAAGGATTCCAACACAATAGATCATTCTCTCTTATATGTGACTTTGTGGGATCAAATCTCAGTTTGATGCAAGCTTTTCCTTGTGAGTTGTGAATGCAAGGAATATCCCAACGACTACTAACGAAGACATGACCACATTGTGGTTGTCCGTGTTGATTGGGCCTCTACTTCAATACTTGCTCGACTGTTCTCCTAATGATTCTAGCTAAGGATGAATAAAGAATGAATTCAAACCGGTTTAACTTTATTTTTATTTGATCCAAAATATTGATCTAACTAATTTATTTTAACTCAAACTTGATCCAATGTATATGGGACGAAATCGAGTTAACATGATATTTTAACTCAATATATCAATATTCAGTATAATTAAATTATAAAACAAAAGAAATATAAAACTTAAATTAAGGTATATTTTATTATATATTTTAAAATAAATCATGTCTATATAAATATAGTATAATTTTATACAAAATATTATCTATAAAAAATCTGTTATTATTAATACTTATTTTAAAATAATAAAGTACAAGTTGGAATATGATCTGAAGTATAACTTGAATCGGTCTTACAAATCATATTGGATCTAATTTTAAAATTCAGGCTTATCCAAATTAATAAAAGATTGAGTTGAGTATGTGGATGGATATATTTTTTTCACTCTTAATACTATGCCAATAATTTTATTATAAACATTAGTGAGAAAATAGATAAATCTAAATTAGAAATGGTGCAAGTGGAAAGGAATTGATGTGTACTTGTAGCACAAGTACTATTATAGTATTATTATTTATATAACATTGTTTTATAATAATTTTTATGCAAGAGAAAGTGCATGAAATATGTGATACTATTTTATATTTAGTACTCTTTATGAAGTTATTGTGTACATTTAACTATAATTTTTTTTTAATTTTATTAGTAATTTAAAGGAAAATGTTAAATAATATGTGGTGAATTTATAATTAAATTTTCTCTCCTTTGCATAGGAAATGCAACAAAGTCAGGGATCTAAGATCATAGAGCTAATTCATGGTTGCAACTGTGAAGAATGGATAAAGAATGAACAAGTCAAAAAATTAGCGTTAAAACGTTGGTCTGCGACCAAAGTAGTGAAAATTTGGAAGAGGCCAAGAACAGGGGATCTTAGTGCTGCAACGCTCATCCAGCACCCAAGCTATAGGAGCTTTCTTCACTTTGAAGGACTCTTCACTATTGCAATGGTGGTCCATGGATGCAACGGTGGAGTTAAAATTTCTAGTTTTTCCTTGCTTTTAATTAAAGATCATATAAATAGCAATTAAAGGAAAAAAAATCAAAGGGACGAAAAATATGAGATAGAGAGAAAATTTAGGAAAAAGAATAGAGCTTTGAAGAAGGTTTTGGAAGATTGATATCCTTGTAGGAACAAGGGTCTTTGCCCTCTCCATTTTCTTCTTCTTTCTTCTTATTGTATTCTTCATCTTTGTATCAACTAGAGCCCTCATCATAAGTGACTAATTTCTCTTGAATTGAGTTTAAATGTAACTACCAACACTTGTGTACACACGCACACACACACACATGTGTGTGTGTGTATATATATATATATATATATATATATATATAGAGAGAGAGAGAGAGAGAG